ATTTGCCTCAGCCTCCCACTCCGCCATAAAGGTCTCCCCCTTACTCTCATAGAGATTGTGGAGCACACAGCAAGCAGAAATAACAATGGGGATATTGGTTTGGCTGAGGTCTGAGCGAGTCAGTAACCATCGCCAGCGACCTTTTAAACGGCCAAATGCACATTCTACCACCATTCTGCACTTGCTCAGCCTGTAGTTGAACAGCTCCTGACTCCTGTCCAGGCTGCGTGTGTATGGCTTCATGAGCCATGGCATTAAGGGGTAGGCTGGGTCCCCAAGAATAACTATTGGCATTTCAACCTCCCCAACGGTTATTTTCTGGTCTGGAAAGTAAGTCCCTTGCTGCAGCCGTTTAAACAGATTAGTGTTCCTGAACACGCGAGCGTCATGAACCCTTCCCAGCCAGCCCACGTTGATGTTGGTGAAACGTCCCTTGTGATCCACAAGTGCTTGCAGCACCATTGAAAAGTACCCCTTGAGGTTTATGTACTGGGTACCCTGGTGCTCCGGTGCCAAGATAGGGATATAGGTTCCATCTATCGCCCCACCACAGTTAGGGAATCCCATTGCAGCAAAGCCATCCACTATGACCTGCACATTTCCAAGAGTCACTACCTTTCGTAGCAGCAGCTCAGTGATTGCTTTGGCTACTTGCATTACAGCAGCCCCCACCGTAGATTTGCCACTCCAAATTGATTCCCGACTGACCGGTAGCTGTCTGGCGTTGCAAGCTTCCGCAGGGCTATCGCCACTCGCTTCTCAACTGTGAGGGCTGCTCTCATCTTGATATTCTGGCATTTCAGGGCAGGGGAAAGCAAGTCACAAAGTTCCATGAAAGTGCCCTTACGTATGCGAAAGTTTCGCAGCCACTGGGAATCATCCCACACCTGCAACACTATGTGGTCCCACCAGTCTGTGCTTGTTTCCCGGGGCCAGTATCGGCGTTCCACGGATAGAACCTGCCCCATTAACAATATGATCTCCAAAGCACCGGGGCCCGTGGTTTGAGAGAATTCTGTGTCCATGTCCATGTCCTCATCACTCTTGTCGCTGCGCTTCCGTCGCCGCCTCCTCCTGTCCTCGTTTTTCTGGTCCTGGTTCAGCATAAACTGCACGAAAACGCGCGAGGTGTTTACAATGTTCATGACTGCTGTCTTGAGCTGAGCGGGCTCCATGCTTGCCGTGGTATGGAGTCTGCAGTGTTCACCCGGGAAAAAAGGCGCGAAATGGTTGTCTGCTGTTGCTTTCATGGAGGGAGGGGTGAGGCTGTACCCAGAACCACCTGCGACAATGTTTTTTGCACCATCAGGCACTGGGATCTCAACCCAGAATTCCAATGGGCGGGGGAGACTGCGGGAACTATGGGATAGCTATGGGATAACTACCCACAGTGCAACGCTCCGGAAATCGACGCTAGCCCCGGTACATGGATGCACACCGCCAAATTAATGTGCTTAGTGTGGCCGCATACATTCGACTTTATACAATCTGTTTCCAAAATTCGAATTCTGTAAATTCGGATTAATCCCGTAGCGTAGACATACCCCAAGACTCCAAGGTCACACTGAGAATAATTGGCAGAGGTGGAAATAGAACCATGTCTTCTAAGTGCCTTGCTATAGCCACTGGACCATGCTGCCTCTCAAGGCAGGACTGTCCACTACAGTATGATCCATCATCTCTAATCTAGAAGCCAGGTCTTCAGCTCCTCTTAAATCCCCTACCCTAGGGGGACAGGCTGAAGACATGCCAGAGTAGGACTTCAGTGGGAATGGAGAACACTCTGCATCTTGCAGGAACTGCTTAGCTCTTCACAGATTAGGCCCATTGGCTGGAACAGGATTGGGCCTTCAAGGCAGAGTGGAGCCCCTGTCCATGCTCAAGTCCCACTGACCTCAGAGCTCCACCCTACGGGAGGGTAAACAAGTTGGCAATGAATCATTTACTCCTTTATTTTCATGGCTCTTCATTTGTCCACAAGGAGTTTGCAAAATGCCAATCTAGTCCAAAACTGTTGTGAGTTTTTCTTCCCAGGTTGATTCTTAGGCTGGATGTACTTCTTGAAGGATGCGTTGCAAAGACTTGCTGTTCGCTGCTGGTAGGTTATGTAAGTCCCATTCTTTCCCATGATTGATGGTGGTTGCTGTTTGTATATTTGTATTGCAGTGACACCTAGGAGCCCAAGTAATGGCCCAGCACCCATTATGTTACATGCTGTACACATACAGAAAAAAGACAACCCCAAAGAGCTTCTAGTCTTAAGTAGTAAGTAACTAGCCAACAAAACACAGATTTCAAAAGCCATATTCATACTGCATTGGGCTAGTTGTGCAATTTTAGATGATTTTCTTAACTTATCATTCGCTCTTCATAAGTATTTATACCAATACATCTCGACGGCTGGAATATTGACTTCAACGGGTATGGAAAGAGATCAGCACCATGCAAGCTTATAAGAGAAACAAAATCCTTTAAAAACAAACTCCTTTGCTAGCCAGGGCTTTTTCCCCACCCACTTCTAACTTCTCCTTACTGATATTAAGTCCGATAGGTTTTAATAGGGATGAAACCAAGTAGGGTTGTGTAGAAATTATTCTAAAAGCCGATAGATAGAATTTAATAGCGAATGAGATCCTTTATATAGAATTTTTAAAAGTCTTATAAATTTGCACATTGAATTGCTACAGGACTCTATAGGTTGCTTTTAAAAACTACTTAAACACTGTAAAACTTTTTCCATAGAAACATAACCACTTTACTCTCACTTCTCATGAAAAAGGCTAAACAAGGGCTGCGTCTTGATTTCCTCCTTTAGTTTCTTAATACAAAGTAGAATTAAAAATCTGATGCTGTAGTAGAACGAGGGGGACTGGAGGAAAAGTACCAGGTTTCATGAGGAATCTACTTCAGTATAATACCGTCCGTAGGAACACCTGGTGAGAGCCTCTGCCACCAAGAGCTTACTTTCTAAAGAGCCAAGAGACAAAAGGAGAGGAAACAGGGGGACGTAGAGGGGAGAATCATAGAAGATTAGGGTTGGAAGAGACCTCAGGAGGTCATCTAGTCCAATCCCCTGCTCAAAGCAGGACCAACACCAACTAAGGTCCAAGACTATCTAAGGTCATGCTGTGATAGGGTGACCAGACAGCAAGTGTGAAAAATCAGGACGGGGATGGGGGGTAATAGGAGCCTATATAAGAAAAAGACCCAAAAATCAGGACTGTCCCTATAAAATCGGGACATCTGGTCACCCTATGAATCGCTGGCAAAGGTGGCTGGAAATAGAATCCAGGTCTTTTGATCTTCAGGGGCCGGGCCTGGCTGTAGAGGCCTCTGAAGGTATGCCAACATTGCAAGTAGACAGGCACGGCTGGCCCGTGCCAGCTGACTCAAGCTTGAGAATAGGTGCTGGAACAAGGGTTGCTGCGGGGGCTGCCGCACCTCCTGGCCTGAAGTGGTTTCCATCATATACAGGTGTAACTTTAGCACTCTCGTGGCCAAGATGGAGTCTGCTCTGCAGGCAGCTCTGGCCAAGAGATGGCGCGCGCAGGAATGCAGCAGGAGAAATCCCTTCCACCCCAGGGGCACCTATTCCAAACCCCCAGAGTGAACACATACCCTCAGGAAAAGTACAATGGATATAACAAAGGGAAATATTTATTTACAGAGGGATGAGAGGAGAAATACAACAAGGGGAAATATAGGGGGAGCAGTAGAAAAGGGTTGCCTCCAAACCAAGGCCCCACAGGCCCAGTGGTAGCACAGTCTGACAGGGCAGACACTGAATAATGTGTCTGCACACAGAGTTCAAGAGTCCTGAGCAAAGTACCAGTTAGGGTGACCAGATCACTGACAGGAAATATCAGGGATGCAGGGGAGGGGATGGGGGGAATATCGGGACGCACGGAGGGGGAGGGGGGCGGAGCAAAAAAAAAGCTGTTTTGCAGGTGCCGGCTGCGCCATGGCCGCTGCCCCCGGGCACATGCGGCACATCCCGCCGCCCTGCGGGGAAGGAGCCGCTGGAGCGAGAGGTGTGGGGCTCCAGACCCCGGCAGCGGCAGGGGAGAGCGGCTCAGGGCCGTGCAAGTGGGCACGTAAAGTTTATTGGCTGCGGGGGGGACCCCGCCGGCTCCTCGCCCTACCCTGTAAGGGGGTAGCGTCCCCGCCCCGCACCAGCATGTTGCGCCGGCTGCCGCAGGCCAGGTAAGGAACCGAGTCCCTCCCTCCCCCCGGCTCCTCAGCTGAGCGGCATTCCTCCTCCTTCCCAGGCTTGCAGCTGGAATGCAGGCGCAAGCCTGGAGGGAGGGGGTGGTGGCCGGCTTCCAGTTCCTGTGGCTAGTAAGTACGGACACCGGGCGGGCAAGGGGGGCTGGCAAGGGGGCTGCTCCCCCAGGAGGGTGACGGGGGAGCTCAGCTGAGGAGCCAGGACGAGGGGGGAGGGGGCGACTCGGCTCCTTACCTGGCCTGCGGCGGCCGGCGCAACATGCTGGCGCGGGGCGGGGAGCCTGCCGGGGTACCGTTCAAGCCGATAAACTTTACATGGCCATTTGTGCGGCCCCGAGTCCACGCCATTACAGCAGCAAGCCTGGAAGGGAGGAGGAGTGCCACATGCATGGGGAAGAGGCAGGGCCAGGGCGGGGATTTGGGGAGGGAGCCAATGGGGGATGGAGGGGGCGGAGTCGGGGAGGGGGCAAGAGCCCTTCCAGGGTGGCAAAATTGCTTGTTTGTCCAGTTTCCCGACCGCAAATCGGTCAGGACGCGGCACAAACAAGCAAATATCGGGACAGTCCCGACGTCTGGTCACCCTAGTTCCAGTCCAGTGGTGAGTCTTGGGTGCTCCTGGTCGTTTTCGGCGCCAGTGAACTTTCCCCCAACAAACCCCTCTGGTGCCCTCTTCTGCCGCTCTCTGCAAAGCCACACAGAGCGACCACCTCCCCACTTAACTACCTAGCAACCTCCCTCCTTGTTCCCAATGCAGAGTCCCAAGCTCCAGTACTCACAGCCCCATGCAGCTCTCGTCAGCCGTGATACTGGGTCCAGCTCTGGCCTGTCCTTCTCGGGCGAGTCCTCCCTGGCACAGTGCTCCTCCTGGCTCCTGTCCTGGGGTGTCCCCGATCGGCCCTGTCCTTCTGAGGCTTCAGGCAGGTTCTCTCTCTGATTCACTTTTTCAGGGCCTGCAGGCTGCCTCTCCCCCTCCTTGCAGCTCCAGCGCCGCCCCCTGGAGTTTCCCTCCTTTTTTCTTACTCTCCCCCTTCCCCCTAGGAAAAAGATTTAAAAGGGGCCATGCTCTCTAAACCCCCAAGGGGTTACACAGGGTTTATATAGTTTGGTTCAGTGGCTCTCAGGACCAACCCCCAGCACAGGGCCAGATTAAGGTTATGAGGGGCCTAAGGCAGATTGGAGGGAAAGGCCTAAGTGAATTTTTTGCAAAAAAAAATTATGAAGTCAAATATTTATCTGTATGCATAGTTACATATTATTTATTTATGTCAAATGAACAAGTTTATTCTACTCTCACTACACTCAACTCTTCAAACAAACCATTCCCCCCCCCCCGTAGCTTTAGCTGTGGCAAAGTCATGAATGATGTCATCGTAATTCAAAGACCTGACGACTGCATTCTCAGTGCTCAAGAGGGACAGAACACTGATATGCTCTTGAGTCATGGTGGATCGGAGGACATTTTTGACCCTTGTTAGAAAAGAGAAGGGAGGATGGAGAGGAGAAATTGAATTTGCCACCATAAATTGAATTTGCAATCTTGATGGATTAATTTGTACAAAGCAATATCAATGAGACAGAAAATTTCTGACGGCCCCGCTCAGCTGTAACTTCAGTATGGAATGGAGGGCCTACAGTAGGGCCTAAAAATTGGAGGGCCTTAGGCTACAGCCTTATTAACCTATGGGTTAATCCATCCCTGCCTCCCTATACAAATTGTTCCAGCCCCCTGCTTGTAGGGCTTGGGCTGCGGGGCTGTTTAGTCGTGGTGTAAACATTCTGAGCACTGGGACCCTCCCATCTCATGGGGGCCTAGAGACCAAGCCCGAGCCTGAACATCTCAACCTCTCAGCATTAGCCCTGGCCTCTATGTCTGCTTAGTAAAGAGCTTTCCTACAATAATCTGCCTGCCTGCTGCATCGCTTATTGCTAACAAAACAGCTGCAGCTGAACATTGTAATGCTTTAGCTGTGGCTGACAGAAGCAATAACTATTGCCAGGTTAAAAAATGAAACTGCCCTGGGCTCAGTCTGGAAGGAAACTCAGGCTGAACCGAATTCGCCTCATTAAAATGAATTACTTGCAAATTATGATCGTAATGCTCTCTGCTTCTGTAGTGAATAACAATACTCAGCAGGTAGCACTGTCAAAGTGCTTAGCAAATACTAATCAGCCTCACAACACCCTGGCAGGTCAAAGAATACTGAATCTGATTCTGATCTGAGTTTCGCTAGTGTAAAAATCAGGAATAACTCCACCAGAATTCATGGACTATCACACCAAGCGAGAGTGAGATCAGACTCGGCGCCAGGCTGTTTTGTGCATGAATTGTTACTGACATGTTTCTGTAGTGCAGGTCGCTTATTAAAATAATGAATACTAAGGCCTGATCCTGCAAGTACTTGCTATTATGCGTAATGCTTACTGCTGGGTGTAGCCCTACCAAAGTCAATAGGCGCCATTGAAGTCAATGGGACGCCTCTCAGTACTAACAGCTGTAACTGGCAGTAAGCATTTGTAGGCTCCAGTAATATACAAACAGATGAACTAACTTGATGCAGCTTAAGCCAATGGTTTTCAACCAGGGGTATTCAGAGGTCTTCCAGGGGGTACATCAGGTCTTCCCGGGGGTACATCTAGATATTTGCCTTGTTTTTACAACAGGCTACATAAAAAGCACTAGGAAAATCAGTACAACTAAAATTTCATTCTGCACTGGTACAGCTCCACAGATTGTTTGCTACTTTGATTCGTGTAGCACCAAAGGGTTGATTGTAATGACACTAATACATTGCTGGGCCTGATTCTTTTTTGCCCAGCACCTTCGACAGTCATCTGCACTCATCCAAAGTGGATGTAAAAACACTTCTATTCTGACCTGTTAACATTTGACACCCACTGAGCACTGAAAAAAGAATGAGGAGTACTTGTGGCACCTTAGAGACTAACAAATTTATTTGAGCATAAGCTTTCGTGGGCTACAGCCCACTTCATCAGATGCACTGGTGTCAGCGCATACACCAAGCACAGAGCAATGCGAGTCAGGCCCATTAGCACTGGCGTGACTTGACATGAGTGACTTCATAATTGTGCTCTTCATGAGATCTCACAGCCCCTTATAAATGAGGTCAATATCTTTACCCTCATTTTACAGATGGGGAAACTGAGCCACCGACTGGGGGAGTGACCAACGTCCACCAGCAAACCAGTGGTAGGAATAGTACCCAGGCCTCCTGCAACTGTCGAGTGTTCGAGGCAATCTGCACTAGTCAACGCTGCCTCCCTTGGTGCAGTTTACCCAGGTGCAAGTCACTCTTTCCACTACTACAGTGCAACGATACAGGTGGTTCTCCCTGTTGCAGCATCAGTGCAAAACCCACAGCACAAACAAGTCCTTGGTTATCCCAGTGTAATTCCATTGCCTTCAGTTGAATTGCTCGGGATTTACACAGATGTAAGAGTGACCAGAATTTGGCCGGGAGTTAATTTCCCATCTTTCCAAGGATGCTTTGGTTTTTGATTTTTTAACATAGGCCTCTCTCTTTCTCCAGAGGAATGAATTATTTGTGCTCATCACAATCTCTGGGATTAAATCACTGGCTGCTGAAATCCGTATTTAGCTCCACTTTGCCCAGCCAATGACCTCAGGCCTGACAGTACAGGGCCTCCCTCTGCAAGGATCAGAGATGATAAAGCTGTCTCTATGTTAACTTCCTCAGTTCTGAACCTCTCCTGGGCAGGGGCATCCCGATACCACCACTACCCCAAATTGTCTCCAGAAGTAGAAGATGTCAGCTGAAAGCTCAGTGAATGTGAAGGATGGGGCTGGCTTCCCTCAGGTACAGGGATTTTATTTTCTAACCCGTCTATTCTTATCCTCCTAGCTAGGAGCTAGTAACAGGTTATGGTGCATTTGCTGCATCCCTTGCTGAAGGCTCCCCAGATGGGACACATGGGTATTCATTTGATTGCAGATTTGCTACCTAAGGTAGGAAGTCACCTGGTACTAGATACATCTCGGCTTGACCTGGATATCAGGAGATCATTTGACTGGTCCTGGTGAACTAATAGCAAATGATTACTTAAGGGTGTTAAATGACTTCTTTAAAATCCATAGGATTGTGTCATGTTGGGAGTTATCAAAGCCTTTTTCTAATGGGCAAATTTCCGGTGTAGATTTAAATGTCTACTGCATGGTCTTTTCTTACAGCAGCCTTACAGGAAACCAATGGGAGCAAAATGTGTAATTGAAGGGAGACAGAGGGAAAGTTTTTGTTTAGTGGGTTGAAACTCTTGGCTGAGCTTTGTGGGTGCAGGTACATGAGATTGGCAGGTGCATGATACTGACAGGCACTCTCCATCAATGCAGGAGGATGTCGTTGTTTATCTGTACTATCCAGCTGAGTTTCAGACTTTCATTCAGGGAAACTTGGACAAGTGACCTGATGCTGTGATTTCAAATTCCGATTCAGGGTCTAGTTGCTTTTTGCCAGTCCTGGCCAAGAAAACAGCAGCATCTCTTTGGTAGCAAAAATGACCTGCAATCTCTCAGCAAAAGCTAGGAATATTGATGAGTTTTACTCCAATTTGCCAGCTTTTGGGGGCAATTTATTAATTCCCCCTGCTCCCCAGCAGGATGACACTTCTGTCTGTCTGCATAAACTGCTTTGTTTTTGCAAAAGACAAGAAAACATAGAAATATTTTTTCATTAAGCCATAAAATTATGATTCCCTACACACACACACACACACACACACCCAGCCCAGAGAATTTTCAATGCAGCAATTTCTTTTGGGACAGGACAGCACAGCTGTGGCTAAATTATTCATGCTGATAAGCAGCGTGTGTGTCAGTTGCAAGAGAAGATTGCAAGTCAGGACTCCTGGCTTCTGTCTCCTCTTGAGCCATTGACTCACCGTGTACATGGCTGTCACGCTGCCTCTGTGCTCCAGATTCCCCACTCATCCAGTGAGGGTGATGATCCTGACTCAGCTTGCAGGGGTGTTGTGAGAATTAATTAAGGCTTGTAAGGCACTAGGAGACCCTCAGAGGAAAGGGTTACCCATGTTCACTGTATTATTACAACTCTGTGGAAACAAACACACTCATTCACTGCCTGGTAGACAAGCTGAGCCACTAACATACTTTCAAACACTTTAACCAACTTCTCTGGGTGCCTCATGTGCTGAAACAACACTTTTCTAGCCGAGTGAGGTTAGATTTAAAAAAAAGAATTAATTGTTTTTGGCCGGCATCATCAAAGCGGTTACACATCTCACTCCCATTGAATTTTATTGGATTCAGGGGTCCTAACTCCCTTAGGCTCTTTTTAAAATCCCAGCCTTTCATTTGAAGAAGTGTGTCTGCTAAATATGTAGTTGAGCCTTCTTACTGTGTGCTGAGAGAGCAGGAGAATCTGTCAATCAAACCAAAGGGCCCAATGCTACTTTCAATTAAGTCAATGGCAGTTGTGAGGAGGGCAGGGTTTGGGGCCTGATCCAAAGCCCATTGAAGTCAAAGGAAAAACTACCATAGACTGTCCCTCCGCTGGATGCTGGATCAGGCCCGTGACTCCCGTAGGGCCCGCACCATGGAAGTCAATGGGAGTTTTGCCTCTGTCTTCAGCAAAGCAGGCTAGGGCAGGCTCTTGAACGCAGCTGAAAGGCAGAAATGTGGCCCTTTGTAACTGAGTTTTTATTACCTAAATGCACTGGTGCTTTCGCAGCTCATTGAATTGCTCTAAGAGCTGTGAGCACTTGGGAGCGCACATTCTTAGCTGAAGAGAGTCGGCATTGCTCCACTGAAGTTATGCTGAGAATCCTAAATGGAGTACTT